TTCGTGGCGGTCTCACCCCCATAAAAAGTTATGGGGGTTCAAAGTTAATAAATATGCCAATTTTTATACATTTCTAGGCATGTAAATATTTATATAGTCATTCTTAAACAATATTCAAAGGTAAAACTAATGAAAAATACATAAAAATATTGAGAAAGTTATATAAAACATTATTTAAATATCTTTATCAATAGGGTAGGTTAGGTTACGTTAGGTTATCGGGTTTTGTTCAAGTGACCACCCTCTTTCGATCCCCCACCTCCACCCGCTTGAAAATAATTTTTTTATTGAATTTTATTTTAATTATAGTGTATGAAAATTGTCAAAATAATCGACTTTCAACCCCCATAAGTTTTTAGACCGCTGCAAATTTTTTATGGGGTTTTACTCAAGTGACCACCCTCTTTCGATCTCCCCTACCCTATTTCGATTTCCCCTATCCCCATCTAACCCCCATAACTTTTTATGGGGGTGAGACCACCACGAACTTTTTATGGTACAGTGGTGGGGGTGACCTCCTCTTTCGATCCCATCCACCATATAAAAATTGACATATTTATTAACTTTGAACCCCTATAACTTTTTATGGGGGTGAGACCGCCACGAACTTTTTATGGTACAGTGGTGGGGGTGACCTCCTCTTTCGAAGGGGGTGGGGGCCATCATCTAGACCTTTACCATTATTGTTTATTATTGCCGTAAATGTACCTACAACAACATCGTTAATCAGTTTTTGAAAATGTTTAAAAGTTAAATGTAAATTTGACAAATCAGTATCTAATAATAATTTAGAAAGATGAATAAATTATTCACTCGTTAAAGTAGAAATTCCAACAAGTTCTTTGTCCGCTTGTACTGTACCGTTTCCCCGAGTGATAAATAGTCTCGAAAATTTAGCAACACGTACACGACGGTTAATTACCGCCGTCAAGGCAACAATACCGAGTAAGTTCAAGGTCGTATCTCATTATCATACGCCTAGAATGCATTCATAGCAAATGCGCTGAATCACGATAATAAACTTCGAGCAATTAATTAACCGTTTATTAAATTTGCCTATGTTAGACTGTAAACCTTATATTCCATAACTGCGCTATTAACAATAAGGTATATATTTGTTCCTAAAAATAAGCAGTCTTTTAGAAATTGGTTATTGTTATGATTAATCAATTGTTTCTGTTTCCAATAATGTTCAGAAAGAAAAGCCGATCGGCATGCATCAATTGTTTATTCAGATAACAAAATGATTCACGCTACCTAACGGCTGCTTGAAATCTGTCAATTGTTTTCATTTTGTGGCAAAAACAAAAATGCCGAAAGTAATGCAAATGGCAACTTTTATGTATAATAAACACGACCCCATCATTTTATTAACGCGGTCAACTTATTATCGCTGTAGTAACGGCGCTGTGCAGTTATCTAAACTTTTCGCCACGTATAATAAATTACTTTTGAAGTCGTTTTATGGGAGTTTAAGGGGGGAATTCCCGGCGGCAGTTTACGCCCGAAAAATACGGGATATGGATGCCCCCGTTCCCCTTTTCGGGATCGGCCCCCGAATAACGCCCCTTCTGCTCGCTGCCGCTTCGATAAGAGACCGACCAGATTGCCCTGCGTCGTTTTCCCGATTATGATGACTTTCGAAATTTATATTAAGCGCAAAGTCGGACTAAATTAAATAATCACGAAGAATAAGGCGGCACGGCGAAAATGAGATTATGGACCGTGAATTGCTCGAGGAGGAACGATTACATCGTTATAGTAAACGTAGCATGGCTTATGAATTTTTAGGGATTAGGTAAAAAGCTACGTTATCGCCCGTAACTCATCGTTACATGTTCGTGATAAAAAAACCAACTAATGCATGTAGTATATATATATAACCGCGTCTACTACAAAAAGTAGGGAACATTTGATATTGTTTTGTTTATAATTTCTTCACAGATTGCACGCTACTGTCTTTTTTTTAAGTTCGTCGATTGTTATTAATCTTTTGTTTTCCAAACTTCGTTACTGTTATTTTGTTTTGTTAATTTCATTGTTTATCTTTTGTTTTCTCTAAAATTATGCACATGTTAAAGAAAACTTGTAGATATAATATTAGCAATTAGTAATAACTTCTTGACATAAATACACATGAGTACATGCACACAACAGATAATACAAAAATGGATTAAATTTTTCTTTATTTACTTATATGGTTTTTAATAATACATAAATAATTTAAATGCCTACGATCAATTTATGGAGAAAAAATATTAAATAAATAAATGAACAAAAATCTCTGAAAGGACTGATGATGACGGGGGTAGTTTATCGTCTTCCATTTTTTATTGCAACCGCTTGGGCAGCAACTGGAAGTCCTTTCTCTGCTGCTTTGAACACCCTTTTACCAGCCTTTTCCTACAACAAATAACATAATTCGTAATTAGATCATTTTCACATAAAATTTTGTAGATATATAACAAATTTAAAATTTTACAAAGAAAAAACTTACAATTTTCTTGAATCCTTTCCATCTGGCTTCTCCTTGTCCAAGAAGGGCTGCAACGATGATGGTGATCATCAAAAATATGATTGAGAAATTCATTTTTGTAAATACTACTTTTTCTTCAACTTCTTATTGGATAGAACGTTCTTGTCGATGTCTTCTACTGCTCTGTTCTCTGCAGCTTTTTGTCGCCGTTTTATACCAGTTCGTGTGTCAATTGATCATTAGTGCAGGGGATTCACCTGATCGGTACTGTTATTTTTATTACCGCTCTTCCCAAGAAATTTAAACATTTCTTCAAGGGGATTCCTTAGCAACAATAATACCTAACTGCTGTTTACTTTTCCGTTATCTTATGCACGAAGTGTTGTGTCTTTGTTTGTTTTCATTGATCATCATTAACGCTCTGCATTTACGTGACGACAATAATAATTAAACATGGTCATATACTAATCAAATAATAACAAAAATGATAACTACGGCGATGGTAAATATGTGTTCTTGTGCAAAATTGTTTTAGTATTTTTATTTGGTAATTGTTATCAAGAAGTTGTTGTTGTCTTTTATCTCTGTAGGTAACTAGGTTAATTATGGACCTGGATTATTAATTTATAGATTTTGATTGATAAATCGCTACCTTCAGTGCTGCCTTGAAAATGCAACGCTTTGTTTTTGCGCCCGTACCCACCGTGCACGTTTCGCGCCCTTACGGAGTCGTGTGTCAAACATAAACCTTCAATTGTCCAAACTAACCGATCTCGAGCGCAAATACGATTTCTTTTGTTCGATAGTCAACTTTTTTTTTTCATTTGTTTCGTTGAAATATCATTTATTTTCGGAGTTTGAAATTACGTCCTGGCGTTTCAGTCGGTTGTAGAGAGATGGTTGAATAGAATCGTCGAGATTTATGCAGAGTAATAAGAGGGCGTTATTGGCTGCTCGAGGTATCGCAGAAATACGTCGAGTCCGTAATCGAAAATAAAAATCCCGCATTGCAGAAATACGAAAGAGTATAATACACGGTATCTTTGTGTAAGCCACTGCAATCGGTTATTGTGCTCGTTCCATACAACTGGATCATGGTTTATGTCGGTTTTATTACGTCTTCAGTGTCCTCGAGAAAGATGAATTGATACATTAGTTGTCTGACAGATTAAGACCAAAATTAAAATGTAGTTTTGTAGAAATAACTAGACGAATAATTTATTACGTTCTGGTGTGGCATTTTTTGGTCTAGGTACAATTTTCTTTCTGCGATTGTTGATTTACGAATGCGAAAGAATTGAAATTTTTCGTGGCTGCAATGCAATATTTCTTTTGCAAAAATCTGGGCTAAAGTCATTTAGAATCACTTGAATATTTCATGAAAACAACCCCGACGTAAAGTTGGTGTGTGGCCCGAGACCGGGTGAGTCCTGGAGAGATGTATTTTTATTCCGGTCCACACATAACGATCGCATTTACATAAGCCCGACATAAAAGTGAGAAACTGAAAATAAACAGGACATAATTTTTCGTTACTTTGGCCATAAACTTCAAAAATACTGCTTTTCGATAGCCGCCCCAGCCCACGCACAAACACACACACACACACAAGACGCGTCTCTAGTCCTTTTGTAGTGCAGACAGATTCGATCTTCTGGAATTCTGCTGTCTAAATTTTAACTCAAATGTCAAAATTCAATAAAAGAAAACATTTCTTAAGTAGCGAGCTTGCAGGGGGCGATAAAGCACTATAAAACAAGAAAATTAAGTAAATGTTTGGTGGCTCGAAAGTCCACCGTTTTCGAGAAAAACGTATTTGAAAGTACAGTCCGGTCCTGGTGGGATCACGCAGGGAAATGCGACATTGCAACGTTGTAGGCTCCTATTACGTATGTATGCATTTAGACAGTTGAAATCATAAGAAGTAGATCAGTGTGTCAATGCCATAGGTCAGTGCAAAATAAGTTGTTATCGCGATTTCTTTAAGTATTCGTTGCATATTCATGCTCAGGGCCGGCTTCGGATTGCAACTCCGTCTGATTTTCTTACTTATTTCAGAAACATTCTGTATACTTATCAATGAAAAATAAATTTTGGAAATCGGACTCAGTTCCAAAAATGGTCCTGGACAACCAAACAATGAATTTTACGGACATATTTCGAGTTACGAACAAGTTTTTATTTTATTTATTTTCAAAATACGTAACAGTTCCTGAGCGCATTAGATTTCTACCCTTACGACAGAAAAAAATGGCGTCAATTAAGATAAAATTACAACTTGCTACATCGATCTAAAAATCCATTTGTATCTATAATCGAGTTCTGGTGATCGGTTTCGACTACGTAGAAGATTCTTTTCCAGTTTAGGAAGGTCAATTTTACCTGTAGCAGGTCGAAATTAGCACCTCGTTTGTCTTCGATGTGGCAGGTTGATTGACGACGTCGACCGTCAGATCGGACGTGAGCCTGATGACTTACGGGGAAACCCCGTTGACGATGCGCTGTCGGCACACTCTCTGCCCCGAAACTCGACAGGCGTCGAAGACGGTCATATATTGAGACAGAAATACAGACAAAATTAAATTCGGTTAAAGGGAAAACTGTCCACAAACTTAAAGGAAAATTTGAGAGGATTTTAAATTTGTACTTTTTTCTAAATGCAAAACAATTTTTCTTAAGAGATATGAAAGGTAAAAGATTTTCCATTTTATTAATTTCCTCCTTGACGTTTTTAATTAAACCTTAAGAAAATTGTATTTTTGACGTTACGTTTATTGTTAAACCGTTTGAAATGATTGCCCCCGAGGCAAAAAACAATCTGCAAGCAGGAGAAAAAAGGGACCGTGATACTTAATGACTTTTCTTGTAGACGAATCGCAATTCTAAATGAACTGGTTGATACAGAGCATGAAAGATCCGCCAAACGATATTTTTAATCTCCATTTTAATTGAGAGTCGCGTTTATAGAAGAGGCCGAACCCTTTTACGAAGTAAGGGCTAATGAAATCAAAACAAAAATTGCAAAAATTGAGGGCTCAAAACGCGTTCCACGAGTTTTATCGCGAAAGACAAAGAATCGTCGAACAATTTGATGATCTCAAACCCGTCTGTGGTCTACCAGTGGGTTTATTGCATGGTTTTTTACAGGGATGGTGTTTATCCATTCCCACTGTTAATGCAATTTTCATATGTATGTTGCTTTGTGCTTTATATCTGGAAAAAGGCTGTACCACTTTGTTCTTCTCATAAACAAAAGACAAACTCAAAAACCTTTTTTTGTTGACATGCACTGGAGTACCTCTTTTTTAAGAGTTGCTCTATATCTCTCTACCTCCCGCGCCTGTTAAAGTAATGATCGAGTGAACGGGGGGATTTTGATGAATACACTGCGGGAGCGGTGCCGCTGATGGTGGTATTGAAAGGGATATTTGCTACGCGGAAAAGCTCAAGCTTTTGTGTAAATAAACTTTGAGTGCGTTAATGACTTGGGCTTCGAAATATGGGTCATCTTGCTGTTGACACGAAGTTCGATTTGCAATTTGTTTGTAGCAAATAAAAAATAGTTGAACGGCGAAGGGACGGGAATTTAAGGGAGCTAAAACCACCAGTTGACCAGAATTTGTTATTTTTTTAGAAATGGTTAATGGTTAAGAACATAAAAAAGTCATAAAACAAAAAAAAAAAGTATTGACTCAAACAAGAATAGAACCCAGTTCGTCCACATGTCAAGCAAGCGTTGTAACCACTGAACCATTTACTGAACTGTATGTATGACTCTGTCAATACGTTTGAGTTCACAATCCAGAATTAGGGGATGCTTCTCCAGTTTGTTGTGGAACTGGGGGATTTAAAACTGATTTTATTTAACAGCTTTGGGCAGGTTACTTCTCGATTGTCAATTTTATTTTCTATTCATTCCCTTAATGAATTCCTTGTCGATCCCGGAGCAAATTAGCTTTTTTTTTTATATCGCGCCGTCTCATGATAAATAGAACGAGCGAATTTCTATAGAACCGCCTCATTCTTCCTTTTTTTTTTTTTTCTTTAAAGAACCGATCTTATTCATTCCCGAATCCCTTCTCCGATGTTCTTGCACATAAAGAGGCTTTTAATTTAGATCCGAACGAACCCAGGGCTAGAATGAATTTTTTATGAATGCTAATGGAACAACACACAAGAATTCTTCGATACCGTATTCCCATAGCATGTATGTATGTTACTGTATCAGGCCTACTAAGAACGGTGAGATGAAGATAAAAGCACCACTTTATCTTGCCCAAATAATTTATAAACTTGAAAACGTAAAATTCGATGTGACACAAAGCCAGCCAAAGAGAAACGACCCCCGACCCGAGCTGATGCGTTTTTGTTGAATTCAAAACATCCCGTGGACCGCTTCTCATTAGCTAATTGATAAAACTACCCCCCTTTGGTGCTCTACCAACCATTGAGATAGGTTCTAGTGCATTACACAGACTTTGAGTAACTCGAAACAAACGAAAAATAATAACAAACGAAGGTCCGTAGCCTAGCGGTTGTTTTCTTTCCGATGCTCATATTTTTTCGGGACTCTGGGGATCCATTGTCACATACAATATCATCCCGGAATCCATCAGGGCCGAAGAAAAGACGGGCCAAAATAGAATATTTTTCTATTATTATTAAAGTGTTATCGAAAAATAAATAACTCAAGAGTAGCGGCGATGTCAGCTAATCAAGACTGATTTTCACATTTGCGCCCCTGTTTCTGCGTCGGATTTCACATAAGTAACACTAGAATCCCAGGGGTGCGAACCGGGGGCGGTTTTCATATTGCCGTATGCATACAATATGTATAAAGCAATTCTGGCGCCCGCATCATGAATCGTAAGTTGCAGATGTTTACAGAAGTTTGCTGAAATGTCATGTACTTGTGTGTGAATTTATACAATACGCAAGCTTCACGAATAACTTTAAACATATTTCTCACAATGTACTTAGTGCTACTTTGATTATTATAAAGTAAAATATGTTTCCACGTTTTGAGAACCGCTGACTTTGTTTTTACACCAGTTGAACCCGTCCAGTCCGGAAACAAACAAAAGACGGTTACAGCTTGTTTTTGTTTTTAATATATCTCTATTCGTATATTGCTGTATGTGTGCACGTAGAAGCGTTCGTCTATTCTCGATGGGATCAAAGTTTAATTTGCGATGTCGCTCTCTCGTATTAGGTCGGACCCCATTCAAATTTCATGGCGCTAACAA